GAAGCAGCAACACTGATATTGATAGTAGTGCTCTACTGTCCTACAACCACAAAGTTTATTTAAAGTGAAAGGAAGAGAGAACGGCAGATGAGGGAGGGACCGGGTACTAGCATTCTTAGGTACCCACACCTCCAACCGCCCGGGGAGACAATTTGGGGATAAAAAGACCGCACGAACGCCACTGACATCGACCGGTCATCATTTCTTGCAACGTCTCCAGCCAAGAGCAGGGAGGGGCAGGGGGATCCAATCCTGGAAAGCGGCCAGCGCCAACAGCACCTAAACTCTTCGTAATCTCTTTCACACCCTTCTTCCAAGTCATAGGTTACCCAGCTGGTAGTTTGCGCTCTATGAAGGATAAACGGAGAACAACATTCGCCTTTGGCATGAGTACCGCATGGCCAGGTTGTTGTTTCTCGTGTCTGGAAATGAGCGTCTTCTAATGCCCTCGTTATGATCCACTGACGCGACTCCGGAGCAGCAGCGCTTCTCATATATCGGCGGTCGATAACCAAAAGATGCCTCACATCATCTATAATTTGTTTTTAACTGGAGGCTCTCCAAACGAATCATTCTTCTGTCATATTCCCCAAATGGATACTCTGCACGAAGAATAAAATAAACGAACCACTTAGCTGAATTCCGGTCGAACCAGCTATTACCACTAACTTAATTTGAAATTGAGTGTTCATCTGTATGAGCTTTCGATTTGTTATGCAGATACAAAACATATTGATTAAATTCCGGGGACCAGGCCTTCCTGATAAGCCCAACAAGAGGAAAAACGAATAATGGGTTCCACATACCATTATTCAGCCTTATGAGTAGTGCCATATCAAGGTAATCTTCCATTTAATGTGATTCAATCAAGTCATGCTTTCTAAAGCACAATGACTTCATCACCAATGCTGATAATAGAAGGTAATGAAATAGCTCTAGTGTCGAAGGAGACAGTTGTTATTAAGAGAGACCGTTGTACGTAAAGTTCTTCTGAAGATCAAACGCTTCAAATAAGCAAACAGTGTCAACTTCCTGGGGGAAATAATCATACAGGGTGGTCTCCCTCCAAAGAGTCTTGGTGAAGTGACATGGCTCGATTAGGAACAACTCAACAAGCAAAATGAATCAACCAATCTCTGAAAGAGGAAGTAATTAGCGGAATCGACGGACCAACAGAGAATCCAGGGCTTTTAACCTGAGACGGAGGACACTTTTTGACGAATGTGATCTACCATTTGTCACCTTTGATGCATTGGCAACAAAAAACAGCACTGGTTTGGACAAAGTTCATTAGATAGGGCAGTCTTCGTGAAAATGCAACCGGGTGTGGCTGTGGTGTCACAGGACACAAACTACACGGTTACCCAAGGCCCCCCACCGGTAGCATGCAGGTCGACCAAAACCTGTAATCACATGTCACGTACCGAAATACTTTAATGTAAGTCATCGATGTGTCAAACGAATTGCGTCACCAATCGATACACGATCTGAAAGCATGTGTATGTGTGTGCGTGCATGTGTGTGAGGTGCTAAGACGTGGGCAAAGTAGTGGCGAGGGTCTGTATCCAATGCTGCTGTGCCAAATCACGTGATATTATAGTAGAAACACCTGTATTTCTTACCGTAGCATAAGACCAGGTGATTTTGGGTCAGGTGTGGTTACTCTTCAGAATCAAACTAAGCCCTGACGGAAAAATCAAAGTTCGGAAAATAAGAACGAAGCCACCAAGGGACCGCCTAGCGTGATGTTCCGTTCAGAAAGTCTTGAAAGATATATTCCAGTCTTATTGTTCCGAAATCTACATTGATCTCTTTACAGTGTATTTGGAGTGCGTCTTAATGACTTTATGTCTGATATATCGCGGATCTCGTTTCGCAGCACCCTAAAAGTCAAGCTTTGAGTAGAATATTCCTGAAAATGTATACACTCGATGCGATAGTATTTTTCAAGAGTGCCAGTTGGTAACAGTCAGAGACGAGAAAAAGGGTTTCAGTATGCGGGATTACTTGGCAACAGACCTCAGTATTCTTCCTAAAGTCAATATTTCATCAAAATTCAGACTTCCACTCAGTAAAATGAAACTACCAGTGTAGCGGTGATACTACTGATGGGGAGGCATGCAAGTAGTAGTTTTTCTTCTTGTAACTTCGCTTTGCGTCTCTTGAAAAGGGAGATCTGCTGTGGAATTTGTGGAGTCGCTTCGTAGTATTTGCTTGAATTTGAGCAACAGTCAGTGAATATCCAGGAAGGTTCAGGAAGATGCGCTCAAAGAGAGGATGAGTAAACAAGATGCATATGAGAGTTTTGCTTCCCTGTCCAATGGTCTGTAACTGTTCAGTTAGCATTTTCTAATAAATAACTCCACATTGAAGGCCTTCTTCCTTTCACCAGTATCTAGAGGGGCAAGTTCCGATCAAACCAAAGGAGTTCTGTTATGCGTACTCCCCATCGAAAAGGATGTAGAGCGTTGTAACAGTTGCTCACCAACCCGGCTAACACATAAAAACAGCTACTGTCTTCAGAGATCGTCAACTAAATCGACAGGTCCAGGAATATCGTTATGGCGGACCACCTTCCGTCTGAGAGCACTTGTCATCCTACACACGATATTTCCCTATATTTTAAGTAGCACAATCAGATGTAAACGTTATAAAGCTTTTCTGTCAAGCCAAATCGTTTTGTTGCACCTAGATGGGCGTAGTTTTTGCATTACTACGGTCATCTGTTTCGCGAAGATAGACTGGACCACTTAACTTTGCGGACTACGAAGAGTGGTAAGGAAGATCGCCTAGATCGTGCCTCAGATGAAAGTACAGTACAGCGTAAAATCACTTATGTATGATTCGCGGTTAAAAAGGGAAACCAGGCTAGATAAAACTGAGAACACACTATCGTAACCATAAGAATAGAGTAAAAATTACTCAACTGAATCTCTCGTTTATTATATTCTACAACTGAATGTGCCACACGCAGGCCGCCTCGTGATTCAGTTGGCATGATATTCAAGTTATCGCAGTGTATTTTCATAAAGGAAATTACTCACAAGGTCGGAGAGTTTCCAGAAACCTTGTGAGCAGTTTCCTTTATGAGAGTAAGGATTATTTTCAGTTGTATTAATCTCAAAGGAAGTTTATCAGAGGCGACGATTACCCTGATAATGTTCACCCTGTAATCCATCTATCCGAAGAGTTGAATTCCGTGAAATTTGAATTTCCGGTCGTCTGTGTACGTAGAAATTGTTCGTCACACAATATTTACTTTGATCTTTGAAGCTTGGGTGGTGATCACTGCTAAGGATTGTGAGACCAATTGTGCTCTTTCAGCATGCAGCCCCTACCCTAAGCTGCTACCTTGTGATGGACGGGTTTGTGTGCAGCCATGATCTTGGGAGGGGGCAGAGTAACTGAAGTCTCCGTTCTTTCGAGCTGAATTTTGTCAGAAAGATAGATGGTGGGCTAGCGCACGCGGAACAGTTAGTCATCATGATAGAAATAATAGTAGTATGAGGAGACCTGGCAGGAGTGTGGAGACAATGATGTGCCCCTTTCAAAGAACCAGATTTCCATACTCATCTGAGCAAGGACAAGTAGAGAAAGATTGACCTTAAGAATCGCAACTTGCGGTCACCGAAATTTCGTATCGTGACTGTCGGTTTGTTATCCACTGCCATCGAAGTATTCCAAAAGCCAAGGGTCTGGTAGGATTCACAACAAACCTGTTGTGCGTAGCTGCGTTTCTGGACTAAACCAAAGTGATTGACTCTCTAGATCAGTGACCTTTAACCGATTCTTTCAAGAAAATCCTACAGCAGATCAGAGCAGAATGTTAGCAACTGAATATAGTTTACTTCAAACTAACCTATATTCGCAGTAATGGCGTCCGGACAACTGTGATTGAGTATGGAGAAACATCTCTCGACAGATTAATCTGAGAACATGGAATTAGAGTGAGAAGACTAGTGACTGGTCTGAACGGTGGTCAACAGTGATGACTGAGTAATTCATACGATGCTGAGCGGAAGTGATTGAGAGACATGGAAAAATCCCTAAATTTGGAGCCGGAAAGTTGACAAGATTGGATCTGAAGTATACCAAAAGTCGCCTGCAAAGATAGCTGGCAATCCCAACTCAACCAAATCAATAACCAAATCAATAGTGACGGGTCAAATTTAGCCAACAAGGGAGTGCTTTGTTGCTTTGAGATCGTTTATAGGTCCACAATGTCGCACTCCAAAGTTGAAAGGAAACGAGATTTACTGTGATCTATCCGTCAAACGATATTCAAGTAGTACGTGCCAGCGACCATTTTTTTCCAGTGAGAGATCTTAGCATGTAGTCAAGATTTGGAAACTTGAAAGGGGACAGCAGACGACAGTGGCCGACACCTTTCTTCTTCGCAAAAACGTTGCTAAATGTATGGTATACTCATTAGCTTCATGGATCGGCCCGAGACTGCGTAAATGCTTGTCAAGAAGGCCTGCTTGTCAAAGTGCTGCATGTTGCTGAATGTAACATGAATCGTTCTCTGGCAAAGGCGGAATTACGCATCATCTCGGGAGAAACAAAAGAACACTATCTGGAATACACTCATTTGCACTAAGGGTCTTCACGCACCTGATAAGCTTCAAGATTGACAACATCGGTTGTGGGTTCTCGGAGAGTTTTCAGCCATCCTGTCATTAAGGCGTTCCACCAACAATCAACGAAGATAATTAAAGGGAAGTTGAAAGACCGGGATGTGTACCGAAATTGGAAGAGTCAAGAAGGTGTCAGTGGGTGACCAATAAAAACGCAATGTACGAAGCTGCATTTGAGATAGCTGGAATGATACAACTAGTACAAGACGCTGCGAATTCGTCCACGGTTGAGCAGAAGAATGTAGCTTTCAATGGCTCTCGGTTTTAACTTGGGCACATTGCATTGTTTTGTTATTCATAGGACAGTCCGCTTCATAACTCAAAAGAGGCACAAAATACACATATCTTATCCTTGCGAATAAGTTGTGTGCAATCCTCAGAAGTGTGTACATTTATACGACAGTAATAAGTGGCTAGCTCCTCAGTCTGGCCAGCCGAGGACAACGGAACTTCTGAAAGATTCAGATGCTGTGAAATGTGTCCGAAACGATGCGGATAAACTAACTGAAGGTCCTTTGGCCACACTTGATCTTGTGTTCGATTCTAGCGATAACACTCCGGAAGCATATTTGAACATCTAATCGTCTATGCAGCTGCCAAGTGCTTGAAACTTTGCTTTTGAAAAGTGACCTAACTTGTCACGTGACAATCGTCATGAAAGACGATTTGCCAATCAAGCACATCTTTGGTGATTTTGAACTTGAGCTTGCGTCTCATGGGTAAGTTTCAAATCCGTCCGCGACTTCTCATCATGTTCCTAAGGTATATTTTCCGTCATGAATGCAAAAGCAAAAGACTAAGCAAATATGGATCACGTCGAAGTTCTTCGTTTTGAAGATCAGTATGAAGTGAAAACACCAACAAAAAGTACTAATGAACTAGTGAATATGCACTCATTTGCAAACTAATTTGGTTTTTTCGAGAGACTCACCTGGAACCCAGCTGAACCTCTCGTTTATGATGTTCTCAGGCAACTGAAACATGAGGCGGCCTGGTGCAGCACATTCAGTTGCCTGAGAACATCATAAACGAGAGGTTCAGCTGGGTTCCAGGT